ACACACACACACACACACACACACACAGAATCCAAAGCAGGCTTCAGGCTCTGAGCTGTCAACATGGAGCCTGACCTGGGGCTCGAACTCACAAACTGTGAGATCATGACATGAGCTCCGGTCGGACGCTTAACTGACTGAGCCATCCAAGCATCCCGGCAGTAATTAATTTATTGATTTTTGAAGCTAAGGGCATAAATGGTTTATATTCATACAATGCTGCTAGTGCCCAAAAGTCTATTCCTATTTCTTCTATCAGTTTTAATCTTGTTTATGAGAAAACTTGAGTTTATAAAGAGAAGCAATTAAGGATTTTAATTTTTGCTATTTTAGGTGAATGCTGTTAAGAATACATAGTGTTCACTAACTTGTGGAAGTCCAGTATCTTTGTGTTCTTATTAGGCGATTAGTTCATAGACTTTAAGATATAGAATTAGATAGGTATCAACATAATTTTAACATATAATACAGCCTATGTTAGTAATGTTAAAAACCAATTACAAACCTACACTAATTCCAGAATCTAAGACACGGAGGATATACTATATAGCTACACTTTCATGCTCAAGGGATCTCATAACATGGACACCAATATCTTTTTGATTTTTTCTTTTGTTGCTTATGTCTTTTTTTTTTTTTTAAAGGAGTTCTTTGGGTTTACTTCACCCAGGTAGGATTAAGACAGTAAGACTAAGAAAAATGCCATCAATCTGCTACTAATGGTCGTATACATGTTCTCATAAATATATCCTCCTATAGCTTGCTGTTGAACAAACCACACATCTGCATTTAAAGGTCACTTTTGCTTAATGGAACTTGGGACTGATAAAGGCTATTCTGTGCTCATCCCTGATTCCTGTCCACATTTATTTTTATTAACATCAAAGTACTGTAAGCTTCAGTGCCAACTGGGGTGAAGATTTCTTTTCACAGAGGATTTGCTCCCTTTCCCTCTATGGGAAAGTTCTGTATCCTTTAAATCATTTTAAGCTGCTTCATTTGAAAAATAATTCTTAGTAGTGTGTTCATGGAGTGGATTGATTGTGGCTAGTGGGGAAATTCTCTCATGGCTTAAAGATTGCTTTTCAAGCCTGCGAAGTGGGTGAATGAAGGGAGCCCACTCCTGGTGTGTGGAGTTTGTACTGTGCTCAGGATGATGACTGACTTCCAAAAACCACAGTTCAGCAAGACTAAAGGCATCAGGAGACCAGAAGCCACTTAATAAGAGATCAAAGAGGCTGTGTGTATATCAGCTTGAAATCCAGATAGTACAGATCAAAAGCTTGCCTTAGTGAGGCAGCTGCAGGGGGATGAAGTTAGCAGGAGGCCCCAAAGATCTTAAGTCAGGCCTGATGTTGAACTTTACGGGAATTTCATGGCTCCTCTGGAATACGAATTTGGCAAAAAAAAAAAAAAAAAAAAAAAAAAAATCCCATTGTGTCTAATGGTGGGGAGAGAGAATAGAGTGCAGGGAGCAAATGCTCATCAGCTGGTTGGTACTTTCTAATAGGGTGGCTCCCCTTTTAACAAATGTTTCTGCTTTGTACTAGAAGGCAATGCTGAGGAGGAGGAGATCCTGTAAATGGTATATTTGTCATATTACCTTTCATGAGTATTTCACAAATAGCCAAACTGTAAATATTAGTGTTTATGAAACAACCACAGAGAGCTGATTTACTGCAAAACCTGGTAATTACATCTATCTTGTGAAATGCTGAACATATTCCAGGAAGTTAGTGGATATCAGTCTAGCTATGTATCTGTTTCCCATGTAATTAAAAACAGAATAATAACTCAAGAAACCATGTTGGTCTAAAGAAGAAATTCGTTCTTCAGAGCTATTTCATGCCCCGTCTTCCCCTACCTCTGCGTGTGGGTGTCTTGTAGAAGTCCTCACTTGGTTGTGATGTCAGCCTCGAGAGCCATGGCAGTAGATGACCGTCATAGCCCTTCCTAGAGTATGGCAGAAAGAGTGAATCAAAAACACCAACAGGTATTGAGAATCTGTTTTCCCAAGGCATGGTGATTTGTACTGCTCTGCCCTGTGTGTGGGTGTCATTTGGAGCCAGGCAGTGATCCAGAGAAGCCATGCTATTCCCAGTGAGGGCTGGGAAGTGTGCTGCCTCCTTCTGGTACCAAAGGCCTAATTTGTTAATGATGCATGAAAGGGGATTGGCTGCCTGATCTTTACATACCATGTTCTAAGGCTCAGGTTTCCCTTTCAGCTGTTCCCTTCGTATTTTACTTTAGTCAGATGTTACATTCACCCGTATGCCACTGTGAACACATAGGATGGTTAACAGCACTAGCTTAGGAGTCAGGACCAGGATTTTCATTCTGGCTGTGACTCCCTAGGACTTTGGACAGGCTTGTTAGTCTTCCTTATTCTCAGTTTACTAAAATAATAATCTCTAAGATAGAAATCGTATTTGCCTTATAGAGTTATAAATATTAAATAAAAGATGCATATAAATGCCCACACTTTCTAGGCATAAAATAATATGTTACCAGTTACTGAAAAATGATGACGATTCAAAAACATGGAATCTGAGCACACAGTGACTATACCTGTTACTCATTGTCTCCCTCAAAAAAAAATTATTGTTCAGGGGCACCCGAGTGGCCCAGTTGGTTAAGAGGCTGACTTTGGCTCAGGTCATGATCTCACTGCTCGTGAGTTCAAGCCCCGCGAGCCCCATGTCAGAATCTGCTATGAGCGCAGAGCCTGCTTCAGATCCTCTGTCTCCCCCTCTCTCTGTCCCTTCCCCGCTCTCACATGCGTGCTCGCTCTCTTTCTTTCAAAAATAAATAAACATTTAAAAAAAGTGTCCATTTAGTATGACCTAGTATGGGGTATATAAAGATGAAAAGAGATATTAAAGAACTTTAACAAATATATACTGAGTATCTTCTATGGCAGACACTGTTCTAGACAGGAAGAAGATAGTAGTGAACAAAGTAAATCATCCTCATGGAATTTAAATTCAATCGGGAGTAGAGAGTCAGTGGATAAATAAACATATGTTAAATATAATAAAGGGAACAGACTTGAGAACAACTCTGTATAATACATTATGGTTTTAGCGGTGCTGGAAGTAAGACTGAGGCTCTGTGATGATTGTTTCTTAGGATTCAGAGGGGCCTCACAGGGAACTGAGGTATGCCTTGTAGACAAACAGGTAGTGGACACTCCAGGCACAGGAATTTCCTGTCCTAGAATTGATTACTTGGTCCTTATTTCAAGTCTTTTTTTCGTTAGTATCTGTTAACTATGTATCTAAATTTGTCAGTTTTATTCCTTTTAATGAAAAATCCTTTGAGAAACTTTGTGTTCTCATATTTTATACGAAAAACAGGACTCACATTTCACATGGTAAAAATAGTAATTATGAATTATGTACTGCTTACTCTGTTGCACATTAAGGCCTCGATATACACATAAACTGATTTAATCATCCCTACCACCCCATGAGGTAGGTCCTGTAATCATCTTCATTTTATGACTTAAGAAAATGGCAAGAGGTTAAGGAATTTGCTCAAAATCACCCAATCAGTGGGTGGAGCTGGGCTCCTAAGTCTGTGCTCTAGTAGTGTGATAGGAACAACATTGATTCTTCATGACTGTGGCTTAACACCATGATAAAAGACCAAAAAATTTCCAGTTGTCTTTCCAGAGAAAAATACTTACTACAATTCCAAAAGGTTTACTTGAGATCATTTCTGAATCTTGCGGTTCCCTCGCCTCTACTCTTCCCACTTGGCCTGTGCTTTTGAGAGACCTGGCGGCTTTCTTAGCACCAGAGAGTGCAAACTATGTGTGTTGCATCCTAGATTTTCCAGCAGGACTCTGTGGCCTTTGTTCCTGAACAGTTTCAGAGTTGGCAAAGTTTTATTCTGCACGTTGCATGCTACATACTACAGAGTATTGGTTGCCCTTTCAAGGATTAAAAAAAAAAATCACAGAATTTTTTCTCAAGAGTGAATGGCATCCTGTGTCCTTGCTATGGCTATGCTTGTCAGCATACCTCCCAGCCTAGAGACGGCTCCTGTCTTTCAGTGTCTGCTTCAAGAGAGAAGGAGGGCTGAGGATGCCGTGCTGCTCTGAGCTTCTCTTCTGATGCCGAGATCTTCGTAACCTGGAGAGTGTAGGGTCAGCTCTTTATTTCCGTGTGTTACCACATAAGCATCATATCACAAATAGTTCAGTAGTTGATAGAACTGTTGGTTTAAATCGCACATGCTCAGTTGAATTTAGAAGACTGTAAACTCAGTGGTAATTGTTAACTCCTCAATCTCCTATTTCCTACTGACTTCTCCATCATCATCTTCACAGTGATAACCATAGAATAGGATTAGCGCTTATGAAGCGCTTGCTGTGGACTTATAAAGCCCCTTATGTGACCTGTGTCATTGAATGCTTTGCACAACTCTATGAAATCTGTACTGTTGTTCTTCCCAGTTACAGGTGAGAAACCCAAGTCTCAGCTAGTATTTCTAAATGCTTAGGCTGAGAATGATTTGTATGGAAAATGAAAATAAATTCCAAAATTAACATTAGAAAAGCTTTTACAAATTTTATGTGTCTTCGCCCTGCATCATAGTAGATTTAAATTTCTGTAGTTTTTTCCTTGGATGATATTGCAATATTTATTTATAAATTCATTTTCTACTTAGAAAATTGTAAAATACACATATAAAATTTACCATCTTAACCATTTTTAAGTGTGCAGTCCCATAATGTGAAGTATATTCACATTTCAATCAATGGCATTTTTTTTTCAGCTACTGTAATTTTTTTTTTTTTTAAATTTTTTCAACGTTTTTTATTTATTTTTGGGACAGAGAGAGACAGAACATGAACGGGGGAGGGGCAGAGAGAGAGGGAGACACAGAATCGGAAACAGGCTCCAGGCTCCGAGCCATCAGCCCAGAGCCCGACGCAGGGCTCGAACTCACGGACCGCGAGATCGTGACCTGGCTGAAGTCGGACGCTTAACCGACTGCGCCACCCAGGCGCCCCAGCTACTGTAATTTTAATAGAGGGTATGAGTCTGTACTTGAGTACTACTGTCTGCCTAGTGGACTTTCCAGACAAATGAGGGGACTTACAGATAAAGAACATTTGTGTGGTTGATTTTGTTTTATTTTCCTTAAAACCAGCAAAAGTCCTGGGCCAGGAGCGAATGGGAAACAATTACAGCATGACAAAAAATTTTCAGTAGATGAAACCTTCAAGCAACAGATCTAATATCCAAGGAAAATATCTAATCAGAGACTAGAGGGGGATAAAAGAAAGCAATAGTCTTCAAGAAGCAATTTCCATGGGACTCCTGGTTGAACCATTTAAATTATTATAGGGCTTAAAATAGACTTGAAGTACCAAGCTATGCAGAATAAAATTATGTGCAAGCTTCTGTATTTTTTTTTTCCTGTTTGCAATATATTTTGAATTTTTAGCAAGTTTCTCTGTCCAGTTCTCTTTCATTGCACTTTTAATTGCCTCACATGCTGCGCTTACTGTGCTGCTCAGGGACTGTTCGGTTCTATGTATGATGCATGGAAAAATCTATTCTTAATGCCTAATGGTATTTAGGAAGTAATAAGACACAAGAAGCCAGGAACCATATCAGTTTAATCTATCTTGAGTGCACTGAATGTATTTTGTGGGTACTTTGAACATGATGGTGTTGCGGTAATTGGTACGATTAGTGTAATACTTGGCTATATTATAAAATAGTTAAAAATGGGGTTAAATTCTAATAAGGTAGCTTGCCCATTATTCATCAAATCATTTATTTATTGCCTTGCATTCACTATAAATACATTTATTTCTCTTTCCTAAAAGTAAATGCTTAGCTTGTTGGTCAAATCAGAAGCTCTTTGAGTATAATTAATTACATCCCACTATCTTAAACCAGAACTATGTTAGTGATTTTAATTCAAGTAATAGTCCCTGACATGTCTTTGTTGCAATCTAAAAATCGCAAAGGGAAAAATATAAGTTGTTTTAAGATTCAACTTATTAAAAGAAAAGGCACATGTCATAAACATTTTGTCATATGTTTCGTTTTGATGGTACAGTATCCAAGAAGTTAGATCTTATGTAGTCAGTGGCCTTTTTATGAGTTCTTAAAAGACCCCACTAACTGAAATTATACCATATTTGTGACCAGAGTGTACATCTTTTTCATTACTGAAGCTGTGTTTTGAATTAACTTCCATCATTCCCTACTTTTTACAGTGGTTTTCTGAATGTTTTGGTAGAAATTAATGACAAATTTGACTCAAGATAGTCTGTCAAATTTAGTTACAGGATTTTGGAGTTGGGGAAACAGATCCTAACTGTCATGTATCCAGTGTTCTCATTTTACAATTGAAGAAACTGACTCAGAGAAATGAACTTCTGAAACTATACACAGCTAGGCTGGCACCAAGCTGGGGCTCAAAACTTGTCCCCTGACCTCTAATCCATACCCATCCTACCACTAGTGGATTGAATAGCTGTCTTCCTTGTCTTTCTCTCCTATGTATATTTTCTCCTTAAAAAAAAAAAAAAAAAAAAAAACTTTGGATTCCTGTTTCCTGATTGACGTTGCTCACAATGGAAATTTTAATTCATGCCAGCTGTATCTCAGAGCTTCTGCAGATCACTGCTTTTTTTTCCTGTGTGTGTGTGTGTGTAAAATAAACTTTCCTTTGCCTTTCTTTGTACCAGTTGCTTCTTCCGCCTACCTCCAGGATGGAGAAGTTAGTGGTCTCCCTTTTAAATTTAATGGTTTCTTTCAGTGTTCTCCATTTAGTAACTTCCTTGAGATCGTTGAAAATCTACTTATTTACGTTTTAACTTAATACTCTTTTGAGATCAAAGATTTTTTTTAATGTTTCTTTTATTTATCTTGAAAGAGAAAGTGTGATCAGGGGAAGGACAGAGAAAGAGAGAATCTCTAGCAGGTTCTGCACCATCAATGCAGAGCCCAATATGGGGCTCAATCTCATGAACAGAGAGATCATGACCTGAGCCAAAATCAAGAGCTGGATGCTTAACCAACTAAACCACCCAGGCGCCCCTAATACTCTTTAGTTCAAATAATAATGGCCACATTTAAGAGTATGCTCTTCAAGAAACAAATACTTGCTGCTTGCTACTTTTATAGTTTTCTCTCAGTTGAACATTACTGATTTGGAACAATTCTCTGATCAAATATTTCATGGCTACCTACTTCATGTTATCCAGAAATTATGTAGATTCTTTAAAATTATCTTTGAAATATACTTCCTCACACTGATCTGAGTATTTGTGGAGTTAGGCTCAATAGCCTAATTCTGTGATAATGTATACCAAGACATTGAATTCATTGATTAGGATATCTGTTCATTTGTAGAGCACTTTCTATTTCATAATTATTTAGGTTGTATTCCTAGTCTTTTTTTTTTTTTTTTTTTTTATCATTTCATTTTGATGAAGGACTCCGGTAATATGGGAGAGCAGTTATTTTGGTGTGGTGAGCTGTACAGCAGCAAAGAACTTTAATAATTAAACTACTTAGAGTAATTAAATGTAGGATTAAGACTATATGACTTAACCATATTTCCTCTCATGAGTTTACATAGGCCAATTTTATATTTTAATATACTGTACTCAGTTAACAGTGTCAAAATTATCAAAGGTAAAGCAATTTATACACATTTTGAAAATTATTGAAGTGTAGTTGACATACAGTGTTATGTTAGTTTCAGGTGTACAATATAGTGATTTGCCAATTCTATACATTACTTATTGCTCATCCTGATAATCGTAGTCACCATCTGACTCCATACAACAATATTACTGACTGAATATATTCCCTATGCTGTACTTTTTGTTTTTGTGACGTATTTGTTTTATAACTAACTGGAAGTTTGTACCTCTTAATCCCCTTCACCTATTTCACTGATCTTCCTTCCTACCTCCCATCTGGCAACCACAAGTTCTCTGTATTTGACAGTCTGTTTGTTTAATTTGTTTTTTAGATTCCACCTATAAGTGAAATCATATGGCATCTGTCTTTCTGTGTCTCACTTATTTCACTTAGCATAATGGCCATCCATGTTGTTGAAAATGGCAAGGTTTCATTCTGTTTAATGGCTGAGTAATATTCCACTGTGTGTGTATATATATATATATATATATATATATATATATATATATACATACCACATTTGCTTTATTCATTCATCTATTGATGGACACTTGAGTTGCTTCCATATATTGGCTGTTGTAAATCCCGGCAATGGGATTAGGGTATTTATTTTTAATTTTTTGAGGAACCTCCATACTGTTTTCCACAGTGGTTACACCAATTTATATTCCCACCAACAGTGCATGAGGGTTTCCTTTTCTCTACATCCTTGCCAACACTTGTTTGTCACTTCTCATCTTTTCGATACTAGTCATTCTGACCAGGGTAGGATGATATTTCATTGTAGCTTTGATTTTCATTTCCCTAGTTATTAGTGATATTGAGCATCTTTTCCTGTGTCTGCTGGCCATCTGTATATGTTTTTTAGGAAAATGTTCAGGTCCTCTATCCATTTTTTAGTCAGTTTCTTTTTGGTGTTGAGTTGTGTAAGTTACATATTTTGGATATTAACCCCTTATCAGATATATTATTTGCAAACACTTTCTCCCATTTGCTAGGTTGCCTTTTGTTTTGTTGATTATTTTTTTGCTGTGCTGAAGTTTTTCATTCTGGTATAGTCCCAATAGTTTATTTTTAGTTTTGCTTTCTCTTGCCCGAGGAGATATATCCATAAATACGTTGGTAACGCTGATGTTTAAGAGATTACTGCCTGTGTTTTAAGAGTTTTATGGTTTTGGGTCTCACATTTAGATCTTTAATCCCTTTTGAATTTATTTTGTGTATGGTGTAAGAAAGCAGTCCTTTCATAGAGCATGTAACTGTCCAGTTTTCCCAGCACCATTTATTGAAAAGACTATTTTTTCCCAATTGTATATTCTTGCAGCTTTTGTCTAGATTAATTGGCCATATAAGCATGGGTGTATTTCTGGGCTCTCTATCCTGTTCCATTGATCTATTAGACACAGGTTTTTTATCTGAAATAAAATATGCTCTTTCTCAATGCCATTCTACTATAAAAATTCATATTCCATTTCCTTAATGCTTTTAAAAGTTAGGGTATTAAATATAGAATTAAAAAATAATCAAAAAGTTGTTCTTTATTTTGAATTCATGTAGTAAGGTCGTTGTTTACACCTTGATATCTATTTTTCTACATTGGAGTAATACTACAAAGCATATACATGTTAAATGTCAGAATAGTCCAGGGTATACGTCTCATGTTCCTCTTTAAAAAATACCTCTTACTGATGCACTGGCCAATTTTATTAAATGTGACCACTTTTCTTGTTTATTTCTTCTAACATTCCCTGCTCCATGCCTTTCCGGTGAGCTTGCCGTCGCTGCTTGCTTGTATTGGTAGTTTTGCTTATGTGACAGCTTCATGGCTAGAGCTCCCCACATCTTCAGGTTGATAGCCGTCTCTCACAGAGCCTACATTTCAACTGAGCCACCATTCTGCCCCAGGTGATGCCCCTGCACCTTGCCTTATCTTATGTGAACTCTGATCTCTTTGATCTGTGGGAAGGTACACAAATATTCATATACTACATTTTATAGACATTGTAGAAACTTGGAATCCTATCCATTTGGGCATAATTATTGTCACATGTATGTATCCCTTCATGTAAAGGTGTCTTCAGGTCACCAAATGAATGGATTCTTGAGAAAGTAGGTATAAATTAAAATTTGGCAAACAAATGCATGTTTTATTTGTACATGGCAGCCCAGCTCTACATTCTGTGCTAAACTAACTTCATCAACTAGGTACTGGTATATAAACCTGTATATATATATATAAACGTAAGGGCCTCAGTTTACACACTTTGGCAAGGTAATAAATATATCTTCTATCAATTTTCCTTCTTTCAGTACTAATTCGTTTGGCAAGTACTTGAAGATAGGGAAGCTGCATCACTTAGTGGCTAAGAGTGTCAACCCTGGAACTTTACCAGGTGGTTTAAATTCTGCCTCTGCCATTTCTCAACTGTGCGCCTTGGGTACTTTTCCTCTGTCTTAGTTTTCTCATCCTGAAAGTAGGGATAATAATGGTACTTACCTCATGGTGGTGTGAAGGTTAATAAATGAATTCTAGTGAGATTCCTAGAACATTCCTGGCATGGCAAACACTCAGTAAGTGCTAACCATTGTTCCTATTCATATATGACGGGATGTGGCCCTTGCCTTTGACTTAACGGTCCAGTGAGGAAAGAGAAGGTAAATAGTTTACCATTCAATATTTCAACTACTATTCAGTACCTTCCATATGGCATTCACTTTAGTAGGTCCTGGAAATCAGCTAATAAGTAAACACACCCTCACTCTCATGAAGCTTATTTTTAATAGATAAGACAGTTAAAATAATTTCTGAAAAATGCCAGAAGTGTTATAATAGAGAAAATGCAAGGTGCCATGGATACATCTAACAAGCAGGAGACCCAACTTATTTTAAGAGATATGGGACAATAAGGAAGACTATATTATGACAAATGCTATATGGAAGTCCTCTTCTAGAATTAGGGGATCACAAGAGGAGAAAGTCAGGGAAGGCTTCCCATTGGTGGAAACACTTGAGTGGACTCTGATGGTGAAAAGGTAGATAAGTGGCAGTGGAGCAGAGAAAGTATTCCTGGCAGATGGACTGGTTTGTCGGATGTCAGGCAACGCATCAAAGCATTTCACAGTCGCTGGATTTCAGTAGTTCTGTATCTTTGGGACGATGTGCGAAGCAAATGGAAATGGGCAGTCTCACGTGTAGGGAGAGCGATAGGAGCCTAGACTCCTCTGCACATCTGAAGGAATTGCTCTCACAAGCAGTTAAGACATGGTCCGAAGGCAATTGGGTGTCACTGAAGTGTTTCAAATAGAGAAGAAATTATGACCACATTTTAAATTTAATTTTTATTTATTTTTTAAAATATTTATGTTTGAGGGGGAGAGAGAGAGCAAGAGCAAATGAGGAAGGTAGGGGCAGAGAGAGGAGGACAGAGGATCCAGAGCAGGCTCCGCATTGACAGCAGACAGCCCCATGCAGGACTCAAACTCACAAACTGCAAGATCACGACCTGAGCCGCAGCCAGACGCTAATCGACTCGGCCACCCAGGCGCCCCTCATCACATTTTTATTGTTAAAGATCATTCTTTTATTTCTGTGGAAAATAAACTGATGGGAGCAAGAGTGGAGACAGTGAGACAAACAGTTGCAGAGGCAAGAAATAATGAGAAGCTGAACCAACTTAGTTGTGGCAGAAATGGAGAGAAAGGGTCAGGTAGAAAAGATAGAAGTTCAAATTGACATGCCTTAGCTAGCAACTCAGTGGAGGGGTTAGGGGAGAGGGATTAAGTGAGTGCTTGGGTAAATGGTAATTCGAGTCAGGGATTATGGGAGGAGAGAAGTCTGTCAACTTGGATTTCCCCCAACATGGAAACATCCTGTGTTTATAACATCAAATGTTAGCATCACTTCAAGAAACCTCAAAAATTCTTATGTGCACTTTTCTTCAGGCAGGCACAGTGATTGTATGCACTTACAGACCAGGTATTTGGATTCTCAGGATTTCATTGCTAAGTAGTGAGAAGAATTCAAGTCAGATCTCCTGTCTTGGTCTGGCATTCTGAGGGAAGTTAGCTGTCCTTAACTGATTGTCTTTATTTGCTAATAACTGATTGTCTTTATTTGCTAATATTTTTAGGAGCTGTAGGGGACAAGTTTCATAAATGGTTAAGTTGAAGCAAGCATATGGAATACTGTTATAATGTGTACAATAATATAAGGCTTTTGAAGAAAGAAGAAGAACCAAATCCTTCAGAAGAGAGTAGTTGTCATAGTAAAAGATGCTGTTTCTTGTGTTCTGTGATTGGTCTTTAGTGCCCTCTATTGACTGCTTAGTCTAAAACAATGTCTTGATTTTGGAAGACCATGTTCCTTGCAGTGTTATTTACCAAAATAGGAAGAATCAGAGGTTTTAAAATCATGAGAAATGGTCATAAGAACTGATGGGAACTTAAAAAAAAAAATTACATGGGGTCTCAAAGTTGGGTAGAGGTCTTCAGAAACAACCGTTATAACATTTTGTTTGCTACAACATGGGTATGATACTGTGGGCTAGATTTTTCAGAAAACAGGCCTTACTGATGATGAGTAGCCTAAATCGGGCTGGTTTTTAAGCATTTTTAATGCAGCGAAGCCTCAAGGACAGCAGTCGCCCCAGTAGGCAGTAGCAGCTGCTGTTTTTCCATAGGGCGGCTGCTGCGTGTGATGCCCCATGAAAGGAAATGACTGTTACTCATTAAAGCAACTTCATTCGGCTACATAGGAAATCACACAGTTAGAAAAGTCATCACAGAAAATGAAATAGTGATTATGCATAATGGGGCATCTTCAGAAATGGATGGCTTTTCTTTCTTTTTTTTTTTTTTTTAAATGACAAAGACGCTGCCATTGGGTTCTCTCCTCCAGGAAAAGCAGTGGTAGATTGGACTTAGTGTTCAGAATAACTAGAGGTCTAAGCCTGAATAAATTTTAAGGAAGCATACCTGGTACTAGCTTGAGGTCTAAGACTGCGCTTTGTATAAATGAATGCTCACCACGACTTTCCTGTAATAAGGCAAATGTGTTAATCATTCTATTTCTATTATTTCCTAGTTAATCTTTCTTTCAAATGTTTCTGATTATCATTTCAGCTGGTTGCATTTTGAAAACCTGTTCACCCAGTTGAGGTTAAAAATAGTACTTTCTGATTTGGTGTTCTATGACTCTGCAAAGAGATTGCTCACGCCAACCTAGTGAAATCATTTATTTGCTTTTGGTATATTTTACTGTTGCATTTTTCCCTAAGAAAGTTTAGTAATTATTAAAATGAAGTAATGCTAGCTGCTTTCTGGGCATTTCATGAGAGGAATATGCTATTATGTAGTTTCCCTTCCCCCCTAATAAAAAAGCCTTTCATCATAAACTGACATCCTAAATGAAGGACATAATTGTACAGCTTATTTATTAGTGTGTCAGACTTAAAATGTAATGGTTTCATATTTCAGAATGAAAAGTGTGTTGTGATTCATGGTTGCCGGTGACAAAACAGACAGCTCTTTTATATCTGCACTGATTGCCTGCTGATATACCACTGTACTTTTTTTTTTTGTTCTTTTCTCTTCTCTTCCTATGCAATAGCTCCCTCTACTTGAAAATATTGGTGTAATTATAGTTTAGCACTATGTACTTTATTAGTGAGTACTCATGACTATTTTTACTTTCAGTCCTTTTCCTATGTATGAGGTGTTCTACATCAGGGCATGTTAGAAATTTACCAAGAGTATCTTGACCTTGGAGCAGAAGAGCAAGGTTAAGGAGAGTAATGACAGTTATGTTTGAAGGCATTTTTCAAGGAATTAGCTGTGTGGCTTTTGTTGATTTAAACATGATATATTTGGTTAAAATTCCATATAGTACTTGAAAATGAACTCTGATGTCGAAAGCACAGAGGTTTGGAAAACTGGATCAGAACACTTCAAAAGAACCATCAGTCATATCAGACTGACAAAGCCTGGAACTTGGCAAATTCTCACTTTGCTAATTCCTGAGCCTTCTGATTCTAACACAAAACATGACAGTTTCTCTTGTATTTGTCGGGAAGGGTTCAACAGTAGTAGAATCTCATGTTACTACATCTTGACTTTATGGAATAATATGTGCATTATGAAACTGTAGGAACAAAATAGACAAAACAAGTGTCATGATTGGGATTTATTTTTTCTCTGTAGTACCATTATTTTAAAGTGGGGCAAGTGGCAGAGCCTGATGGTCTAGAGTAAGAACCTAGGAGCCAGACTGGCTGAGTTTGAATCCTAGCTCTGCTACTTACCACGTGGGTAATCTTGGCAAGTTTCCTGAACTTTCTGAGCCTTAGTTTCCTCATCTGTAAAAACAGAGACAAGTGTTAGTGTAAAGCACTTGGAATAGAGCCTGGCACATAGTAAGTGCTGTATATGAGTGTCCAATAAAATAAAAAAATAATGGACTATAAACTGGTTATTAACCAAATGTATTTATTGAATGTCAACATTATCTTTAGTGCTGCTTAATAAAAAGAAAAACGGGGCCTTCCCAGTAGATGGGAGAGATTTTCACCTTGGTTTTGTTGACAAAGTGACGCTCATTTTCTTTCTTTTTTTTTTTTTATTTATATATGAAATTTATTGTCAAATTGGTTTCCATACAACACCCAGTGCTCATCCCAAAAGGTGCCCTCCTCA